CCCCCGGGAGTTTAAGTGACTTGGATGCTACTGGGATGAAAGTAGTGTGGAGCCTACTGCCCCCATCAGGTATTAATCACAAAGTACAGCAAACACACCTTACAGGGGCCATGAATCCTGGCACTGTGAGACGTTACCCTTGGACAATCAGCTTTCAGGGACGGGAATTGATCTCGCAACAGAGCTGCTATTTTTCAGTTTAAATCTTTTTTTCATTATTTGCCAACCTTAGGGATGACAGCCAACATTTTAATTAGTATAAATCAAATGGAAAAATACCTGGCTAGCTGGTGTCCCTGCGATGGGTGGGTGCCCTATACTGGGTGGGTGCCCTATACTGGGTTGTGCCCTATACTGGGTTGTTCCCTTCCTTGCTCCTGTTGCTTCTGGCATAGGCTATCGATCACCATGACTCTGCACAGGACAAGTGGGTACAGAAAATGGATGGGTGGAATTTAAGTGCATGATGCCATGTCTTTTGTTGGTTATGGTATTTGTATTATACTATCAATAATGTAATACTCTATTGTCTCTCTATTAGAGTATTAATGTTTACAGTGACATGCGTTATCTTGCACCTGAGCTGCATGTTCAGGTCATCGCCTGAGGAGCCCCCATCGCCCACAGCTTTGTGTGGGCGACCGTTACATGGTTCTGTTTCTCTCAGCGAAAAACTCATCACGAGTTGCAGGTGCCATTCTAATGATACGCTTTTACAAGCCCATGGAAAATTGTTGAAATGTCTCGTCTTTGCAGTAAAATACGGCAAAATAACAATTATGTTGATTGGTGGATTCAAGCTTATTTGAATCTAGGGTGTGGTTTATTTTAAACCAAGCCATTTTTCAGGAAAAGCCAGCATACAGTCAGTATTTTGGGAGTGTTTCTCCCATGATTCAGAACCCTGCTGCAAAAAATGGTAAAAACCAGCTGATGCTGGTAGCTGGTTTTAGCTGGTCTAAGATGGTCCTAGATGGTCATGTGCCAACTCGTGCTGCTCTTTGTGGGTTTATCAGGATGGGTCACCAGCTGGTCATACTGGTGTGGCAAGCTTATTAAGCTGATCATGCAGGTATGAGCAACTAAACCAGCTAGAATGGCAATCATAAGCTGGTATGACTAGCTAAACTATCAAACCTTAACCTGGTCAACTATCAAAAGTTGGTCAAACAGTTAACTGTCTTAAACTGGTCAAGCTGGTCTTTTTCAGCAGGGAATGCCATTATTTATTCATATTTTTGTTTCATTTCCTTCAGTGCAGAGCTGTAGAGACTGAAGGTTGTCTTTTGAGAAGACATTCCCATATAGTTGCACAACATTTCTAAGTGATTTCTGAAGCCTTCTGTTTCATTCAGCAAAGGTGGATTTTTGAAAATATTTTCTAATGCAGACTCTTCTGAAGGTTTGGGAGAAAATCTTGTCTCATCACGTTAAGAACGGAAAGGTGCTTTTACCTTTGCTGTGCATGTACAGTACATACAGGTTTGTATATGGGATTACGTACCTTCATGCTTTAATATTGCACAATAATTAAATGAGAGAAAATAAAAAATTAGATATTTTTGAAAGCTGTCTTAGACTCACATTTTGTGTAATCTCACCAAATTTCGTAATTGAAGTAACTACTTAATTTGTTCCTGACCTCATGTTTTCTGTCTGATTTGATACAAGGAACCAGGAAGGCTGTTGTCTCCAAGGACCAGGGACAGTCATAGTTTAGGATGGTTGATGGTCATACTGGGAAGAGGTCTATATGCATGGTAATTGTGAA